GTCTGAGTTATATAGCTGTTTCACTTGATCTGAGAAGGAAGAGGGGGTTGACTGAAATGATTTTATTTGAATATTTTTATACAGAATAGCTTTTCTACTCTTGAGAAGGCTGTCTAGGCAGTATAGTGTGGAAAGGACCCAGAAAGGACCCTTTGTCTGAAACAGTTCATATGCATTGCTTCTCTGTGAAATGGGATGATGTTTGCAGGTGTGGTCAGAAGTCACACCAGACATATTATCTCATGTTCCAGTCTTTGCCTAACAATGCCTTTTCTCTTATGTAGAAATCCATGGGAAAGCCACTTTCCCTGTACTACCCATGGGGCAGCATGGTGCACTCATGTCTGTGCGAGAGAAAGAAGCAACACAGCTTTGGCATTAGAGACTGTCAGCTTCCTCTCACCCTGAAGTATGCAAAGCTACAAACAGAATTGAACAGTTGTGATCCATGTACTCCATCCTTAATACGTCTCTGTATTAAACACTTGTTAGAAACTGAGTGATTCTACTAGGATGTGTGCATGATATAGCAGATATGTTACATCTGCTTGTAGGTAGGTCGTGCATAAACCTCTTCTGAAGTGCTGTTTGCCTCTAGGAATAAATGGGACATATGAACTGTGTAATTGCTTCCCAGCCATGCTGTCAGGCAGCACCCTCCTTAGAAATGGAGACACGAGGCACACCTCTTTATGTCTGAGCACCCATCAGCATGAATGCTCACAGGTGACACGTAGGCTTCTTGGCTGTGTGCTAAAGAGGTGGTGCTAGAAAAATACTCCTGCTAGCAGTACTATCTCCAGTGTGCCCTTACTATTCCTTTAGCAGAGTTTGGGGTAAGTGGTGTACTTTACTTTAAGCTGATGTGCTTCAAGACTGCCTGATTAAGTGAATGTTCAGATTTCCTGCGCTTTCCACTGTGTGTGTACATGTTTTTATCTTCAGATCAATGCTTCTTTTTTTTTTCCCCTTCTTTCTTTCTTTTTTTTTTTTTTTTTTTTTTTTTTTTTTTTTTTTTTGGCATATGCTCTCATCTATTTATCGCTTCCTCCCTTCTTCTTTCTTCCTTCCATCATCTTTGTCACAGTATGGGAGTTGGGTATTTTATGTGATACCTGTTTGTTCAGAAAATGTATTCCTTTTCCCATGCTGCAAAGGGCAAATCCTGCATGCCAAGATAATTTCCCTAAGTTATTCAGGAACAACGCTGTCATACTCCTGAATGTTTTATCTCACAATAGAATTGTGATATTTGTGTCCTAGAGGCAACAATATTAGCCAATAGTGTTGATGCTTGTTATGTGACTGCCTTAGACTATGATCTTGACTGAACATGAGCAGCACCTGCTTTGCAGGGCACCTCTTCTTGGCAGAGCACAACCTGGACACCTGTGTTATGGACAGGCTCCAGAGCAGCAGCAGTAGGGGAACAGGTTAAGTGATGGCTGGGAGGGTTCTATCAGCGATGGAAAAAGCCAGTGGAGTTTTCCCAGTATGGTTTATAGCCCCTGTTCTTCTGCATGCCAGGCTAAAAGCAAAGCCACAGCTGAATGGGATTCAAGGAGGATTTCGTGAAGAAAGAAACCCTTTTTGCTGTTTCCATTGGCAATTTTTTTTTTTCCAAACCAAGGAGCCCTTGATTGTACAAGTAAGTTTTGGGAATAGTTGTTCTATGATGTTTCAGTCGTATTTTTTTTTCTTTTCCTTTCTTTCTCTCCTTTTCTTTTTCTTTTCTTTCTTTTTTTTTTTTTTTTTTTTTTTTTTTTTTTTTTTTTTTTTTTTTTTTTTTTTTTTTTTTTTTTGAGATCTGATGGGTCCTGATTGTACCAATTTTCTCTTTTTCTTCCTTTTCTACTTCCCCTTCTCCTGTTGCAAGAGGTGTAGAAATGTAGAAGGAAAGACTGGAAGATGCGAAGCTGTAGGACCTAACTTAAAAGCAAAGCAGAACTGGAAGGAAGAAATAGGATGGGTTTATAGGTCCATGACTGTTAATTTTCTGTGATGTACTTTGCTGTAAATATATTCTTATTTCTGTAATATGGAGCTGGATGTATTTGGGCTGTTGGCCTGCAGGTCTTGGAAGTAGAGGGTGGAGATAACTTTTTTAAATATTTGTACAGGGAGGAGGACAAGGCTTGAAACTGCTCTGAAAATAACTCTCCAAGGATAGGTTAACTGTACTGGGTTTCACAAGAACCACTCCCTGGAGATATTTGAATAATAGATTGACATTATGGGGTGCAGTAAAAGGTGTGTGCATTTCAAAAACCTAAGGAGAAAATTTCCTTCTTGAGCAACTCCTTTATAAGACACTTTTTTATGTCTGAGGCTTCTACTACTCATTTGCAAATTAAATTTATTATTAGCCACATGGAAAATTGAGGCTTAAATGATCTGGGTGGTGTGGCCTTATTTGTCCAAACAGGTACTTCCCAAATCTGATGAAACAGCAGAAATACCTTAAGGTTTCCTTCCCTAAGGCCTAACCGAAGGCTTTCCCCAGCTCAGGCTGGTGGAAGGGTGCAGCTGTTCTGCTTCAGCTTGTCTTGGAATCAAACCTCAACAGTTTCTCATGGCTCCACGTGATACTGTTGCAGTGCCTGTTCTTCCTCTATGAGGTCTTACAGAAGAGGAAGGATAAATTAGCTTTCTCACAACTTATTGTCAATGACCAGCTGATGCAATTGTTTGCTATTAAAAGTTTGTTCTATAGGCCAACAGCTAGCTAGCAAAATACCAGCAAGACAGGGCAAATACTTATGTATGAGTGCAGTAGCACAGTAAAAGGCATGAAAGGAGCTTGTCTCAGAGCTAGCACGTTTTATGAAGATTTGCATTTAAGCCTTTTTAAGCAGTAGCAAATTTAGGGGTATTGAAGCTGAAAGAACATGTGCTTGAGTAGGGAGTGCATTTACACAGCTCTTTGCCCTTGGCAGAACATCCGAGAGCAAAAGAAACAGTGTGTAAGAGAAGGAGGTCTAAATCAAATTTAATCTTCAGTAATAACCATCGTGTTTGCTTTTTATAGCATTTTCCCTTTTTTCTAATGCATTTCAGTGAAAAGAGGTTCTGCAGAGCCACATGGTAAATAATCTGATTGTTTTTGTGCGTCCCAAAGATAGAGGAGGATTTAAAACAAGCAACAAATAGAAGCTTTTGCTGGCATTTATGATTGTGGTTAATGGATCAAGCTTTTAATTTCTGCTAGAAATGATCTCATGTCAGTGTGCAGCTGCCTGTTCCACGTGCTTGTTGAATGCATCACTCTGTCAGTTGTGTGGTGTATGCAGGCCTGAAGCTGTGGTACATCTGTATAAAAATTACTGTTAGCTGTTAACTGCTTTTTTTTTGTTTTGTTTTTGTTTCAATCTCTTGCTCTGTTGTAAAACACAGTATTAAAACAAAACATTGGAAAGCAAATTATTTGTCTCTGGTGTAGAAGTGACAGTGTGTGAAATACATCAGCTTATTGCAGTTAAACCTATCCCTGCAGTGTCTTACTGTAATTGATGGAATAATGTAAACTAAGTGTTGAGTGGGAATGGTGATTTCAGGACTGGAAATGGCAAAAAGGTGTCAAATGTTTTCTGCTGGCTTTGCAATTGGAGACTATCTTGGAGTAAATCTGACCGTTGTCTGCTTTTGGTTGTGGTAAGTCCAATCATGGCTGCGTTGGTCACTCATGGTTCTGCTTTGTATCCAGGAGCTGTGCTGCCACAAAGCTGAAACTGTAGAGTTAATTATGGCTTTAGTTTATTGGTGGTGATTGACGCCCGCGTCCTAGAGATATGGAGCTCGTTCCAAACCTCAAGCTGTGAACTGATATTCAAGAAATGAATTGGTGTTTTGCCATTGGTGCAAACTGCTGCTGCTGTGTTTGGCTTGAAATGAGTAGTTTTATCTTGTGCAAACTACAACTAGTTCCAAAAATACATACTTACAGTGGAAACAGCAAATGTAACTTTCTTTTATATTTAATTTCATAACCTATCCTATTTTTTGTACTTCTGTATTTCTCTCCTTGATAACAGGCAATTTTATGCCAGATTTCTGTTGCTTTCAGGTTATTTTAGGCTTATCTTTCCATGTTCAGTTCTTTGAAAACAACATAAGGTAGTTCTTTATTGTTTGTTTTGGGGGAAGAGACGCTCGGTAGCTACTCTACAGGAAAGTGCTACTGCATTTGCAGCAGTCTTTCTACTATACATTCCATTTTCCAGTCATTTTTGTCATAATTCTAGCTAGTTTTTTTACTTTGATCAGAGTAGATCAAACATGATTTAGTTTAGAGTTGTTATGGTTTCATGGTTAAAAACTTTTTTTTTTTTTTAAATAAAGTTTAGAGGACAAATTTCAAAAAGTTTGCTTCTTTGGAAAAACTTTTTGAGATGGTACATGTGTCAGTTTAAAAATCAAATGGATTTTTTGTGTGTGTATTAATATCACAGAATCACAGAAACACCAAGGTTGGAAAAGACCTACAAGATCATTCAGTCCCACCATCCACCCATCACCAATAGTTCTCACTTAACCATATCACAAAATCCAAATGTTCCTTGAACACCTCCAGGGTCGGTGACTCCACCACCTCCCTGGGCAGCCCATCACAGTGAATGTGAGATCAGAATTGCATCATCAAGGCATTTAAACAGCTTTTCCAGCTTTCACACAGGTTAAAAAGAGTTCTGCAGGTTTGTTTCCCAGTTATGTTGAACACTTTTCTTTGACAACGATTTTTCAGTCTGTTGTTGTGTTGACTTCTCTTTGAAGTAAGAGGAGTGTAATAAAAATCAGTTGTGTTTTTTTGTTTTGTTTTTGGTCAGGGTTTGTTTTCAATACTTGGCAGAAAGAAGAGTTTAAGGTGAAAGCAGTGTAAAAGATCTCAGCACTGGTCCTATTATTCGATACTTCATTTTTCAAATGGTGACTTGTGTTTTGAACATTTGTCAAAAGAAGCTTTGGTTGTTGCCTGACTAATGCTTTTTGCTTTCCTTTCTAAGGTGTCTCCTGAATTCTCACTATGTCTGATGGGGACTATGATTACCTCATAAAATTCCTAGCACTCGGTGACTCTGGAGTAGGAAAGACCAGCCTTCTTTACCAGTATACAGATGGCAAATTTAATTCCAAGTTTATCACAACCGTGGGCATTGACTTCCGGGAAAAGAGAGTGGTGAGTTTTCACAGGCAGTGTGCTACTTCAGAATGGTTGCTCTTTTGTTGCTGGTGACTAGAATCTACTTCCTCATCTATTTAATCTGATCTGCTAATCCTTATGTGTCAGTGTGCCATCTGTAGTTACTATGTATTTAAAATTGTGATAAGGAAATTATTTTATTTTGCCTGGTTTTATTTGTGCATGTGTCTGTTTTCTCCAAGGTTTAAAAAAAAGAGCTGATTATCAGCAACCATTTTGTAGACTCAACACCCCTGAGCAGTGTCTACTCAGTGAGTTGTGCTCATGGTAGCTGGAGTAGTGCCTTCGTTGTTGAACTCCCTATATGAGGAAGGATTGGGCCGCAATAGTTTTCTTATTGTTTGTGAACTTAAATGAATGTGAACAAAGACTGCACTGTTAATTTTAAAAGCATTCTAATATATGTGAGCCAAATGGGTTAACTTAATATACAGATAATGTACAGAGCTGATGTAGCTTCCTGAACAGCTACCATTAGTGGGGAAGAATTGTGGAAAGTAAGACATAGAAACTTTTCTAATCCGCAAATTGTTGTTTAAATAGGCACCTTGTCTGTTTTGTCTGTTGCAAAGAAAGCTGAGGGGAGACCTCCTACAACTCTCTGAAATTAAGCTGTAACAAGGTGGATGCTGATGTCTTTTCTTGGGTGACAAGTGATAGGTAATAGCCTCAAGTTGAGCCAGGGAAGGTTTAGATTTTACGTTAGGAAGCTTCATGGAAGGGCTGGTTAAGCATTGGAATGGGCTGCCTGGGAAGGTAATGGATTCCCCACCTTTGGAGGTGTTTGAAAGGCATGAATGTGGCACTATGAAATATAGTTTGGTGATGACACTTGCTAAGTCAGTTTGATTTCTGGGGATGGTGAAACAGACATTGTGTAGACTAGCTTTTGGTGGATGATGTGCACCACAGTAGTGGGAGAAGTAAATGTCTTTGTGAGATGTGAAACTTGTGCCTTGAATAAGTTAGTGTTCCTTTTGTGGGATGGTACATGTGGTGGATTTTCTTGGTTAGAGTATTTGATAACTCCGGATAAGATTTATGTTTTGCAATTTGATTCATATAATCCACAAATTCAGCAAGCTTATATGTCATTGAAGATACTATTTTTAATTCAGGTAATCTTATGTACAGTGACATTTGAAGGGAAAGACGTGAAGTGTTCTGAACAATAAATGAGCCTATTTTTAATTGATCCTTCTAAAGCTAACAGATGCCTGTATTTATATTGTCATGCTGAGTAAAATCCTCAGCTTTCATAATTAGCATTCAGTTTTTGCTTTTATAATCTATGATCCAAGATCTATCCCATCTCTTTCAGCAATCTTTTGACAGCTAAAAAGATGTATCTTTATTTTCATGAGTATATTCTGTTTGCTAATGAGGTTCTGTTAGTGTCACAAATGTACTGCCAGATTGCATGATCTCTTGTAGTTATGTTTTCACTTCAACAGGATAGAACATAATAGTAAAAAATAGAAAATCAAATATAAAAAATAAACTTGTCTGATGAGAACTCAGTGGCTCCTACTCACTCTATTTGGAATGTGAAGCCTATTGGAAACTGGTTTTCCACTTCCAGTTTTACCTTTATATTTAAATACTCAAGTAGATACAAAATTGAAATGCAACTCGTATTACGTTTGTCTTAAAATAAAGAAATGGAGTCATAGTTGGAAATCCTTGTATTGACAGTGATAATTCTGCTGCATTTAATGACTTTAAGTGTCAGTTATTTTGTGTTCCATAGAGGTTGGGCTGCTAACATTCTGTCTTACAAATTTCCCTTTTACAGGTATACAGACCCAATGGGCCAGATGGCGTTGGTGGCAGAGGGCAGAGGATACATCTTCAGCTCTGGGATACTGCAGGGCAGGAAAGGTATGCTTCCCTCCCCACCTCTCCAATCAGAAAGTAAAGCATGTGTAACCAAGCTAGGTGCAAATGGAATGGAGTATGTGAATTCTTCTTATTGATTGTTACATTTTAGTTGTATGACTCAGGATGGGAAAATGCCATTTAATATGTTTGACAGTGATGAAAAGTTTCTTATGAGTACCCATTAAATTACAACTTTATTAAATTAGAACACTATAACTGTAATCATTGCTTTTTGTCTTCAGCTTATTAGTTCATGGCCAATGCATATAGATGTTTTTAAAGTTTGTTTTTAAATTTCTTATCCTAAATTTATGTGTCTATGCCAAGGCCTTAGAAAAGTCAGAGTTTGAAATCACTTTGCAGGGATTCTTTCCTACTTGTCTACTAAAAGACAGGCATCATAGTGGTTGATTGTCTGAAAATCAAGAACTGATGTATGTAGTAACAAGTTTAACTTTGAAGTTTGATTTTTGTTCTTATTTTAATTTCTGAATCCTGGTGAAAGCATGCTGTATAATACAAAGCTTTCACTCAAGCCTCAAGGGCTTTATTTAAATGTCTCCTTGACTTCCTTACACCTGGATTAGGACATATTAATGTTAGCAATTCCTGTTATCCAGTCCCTACATCAACAAAATAAACATGATGAATATTTTCTTCTAGCTAATCTTGTCTTTAGTTACCTCAGCTTCACAACTCTATGCAATTATATTTTCAAAGTAACTTTATAATTCTGCTTTCCTTGTCTAGGTTTCGTAGCTTAACAACTGCTTTCTTCAGAGATGCCATGGGGTTTCTTCTACTCTTTGATCTGACAAATGAGCAAAGCTTCCTTAATGTCAGGAACTGGATAAGTATGACATTTCTTTTTCTCATCTCTTTCTTTTTATTTCTGCAGTGGTGGATGGGAGCTATTCTTGCAAATACAAAGTCTCACTGAGCAGTACAACTGAAAATACTGGGTTTTGAAGCTTTCTGAGGAAGAAGAAAGTAAATGTCCCATTTGCAATTGTAAGAGCTGCTAGTGGGAGCTTCTGATGCTTACCTGAAATTCAGCTTTGCTTACTTAACCTCGCTCTTTAACCTAGCAGGCTGAGAGAACTTATCCCCAACTTGGGTAATGCTCAGTACCACACATCTGTGGAAAGTATTCATGACTTGTCTGAAGCTTTGTCAGCAAAGCTTAACAGAAGGTGAATGTGAGTAGGCTGATGTGTCTAGGGGAAGCAGTTCCCAAACCCACTGTTTCATCCATCATATGAAAGTGTTGGACTTTTTTCTGGCAGTTCAGTGAAGATACTTGGTGAGCATAACTCCTTAAGCTACAAATATACAGATTCTGTGCTAACCTTGTCAGGCTTCTGCTCCTCTGGCTTGTTCGCTGAGTATGTAATAGTGGATGTCTGCCTGTTTCCTGGCTCCTCAATGCAATTGCAGAAATCTTGAGAGAGAACAGAACACAACTGTATTCCCTTTTTCCAAAAAGTAATTTTCCTGAAGGTCTTTGTGTCCCCTGAAATGTGATAACATTCTTTGTAAGCTTTGTTTGACAGCAAGTCATGACTCCTATTCGTATTGTTGCTGTTAGGTCAGCTACAAATGCATGCGTATTGTGAAAACCCTGACATTGTATTATGTGGAAACAAAAGTGATCTGGAAGACCAACGAATGGTGAAAGAAGAAGAGGCTAAGGAACTTGCAGAAAAATATGGGTAAGTAACTTCCTTCCAGTTATTGCTGTACTTAAGGCAAAATTAAATGCTTTCTATAATGTCTTTCATGTAGAATGGAAGGTTGCAAATAAGTGCAAATAAGTATTTTAGAATGCTGAACTGACCTGTAAAATACATTTCTTTTTCCTGTCAGAGGTGTTTTCTGTGTTACATAAGATTTTGTGTTTAATATTGCAATAATCTTGCACTAGAGGGTGGTTAATTTTCTTTCCTTGGCAGTAAGCAAAGGAAAAGTGAAGTAAAGTGTTTCACAAACATTCTGGTAAAAAAGATAGACTTTAGTTGAAAAGGCAGGTCTCATTTCTTGCTCTTTCCTGTACTGAAGCTTTCTGTGGTACATGGAAAGCCTGGGCCTCTTGTGATGTGAAATCTAAATGAGCATTTGGTGAGGTGATTAACTGATTAATGTCGCATCAGATTTTAGAGGGAAAATGCAGTACTAAGCAATTACATCCTAATTTAGAAATTGAGTTTTATTACAACAGTTTGTTATGGAGCAGCCCTTGCCCACTGGCATGACAGTTGAAACATGCAACCTCAGTTTCTTTGAGAGCCTTGGGACCCTTTCACAGGCATTTGAAGAATGTAATTACAGAGTGCTGAGTTCCCACAGAAGACCAGTTCTAGTTCAGGTTGCAGATCACCTGTACTTAGCTAAGTTGTTAATCACTTAGCCTCAAAAGGCTCAGCTGGTGCTGTTTGTTTTTGTGCAGATGTCTGCACTCTCCCAGAGAGTCTGAAAATGAAACATCAGTCAAATCAGCTGGAAGACAGCCTTTCCCCATCCCCACAGACAAGGATCATGTGACCTTAAAGGAACTGTGGCAATTCTTTTTTTTCCTATCAGACACTAATTAATCCTGTATTACTCTTATACTTCACTAAACTCTTCCATGGTTCCCATCTCTGAACTCGATTTGTATTTAGTGTAAATCAGAAGAACATGTTTGAAGGAAATCTTCTGACCCATTTATTGTGGCTTGATTCACATAGTGAAGCAGCCTTCTTGCATGGGAACTGGATTCCTTCTCAAATTAAAACTAAATTAGATGACAGCCTCCAACCAGTAGTCTGTATTTTGATCAGTCAGGGAGATTCCAGGGGACTAGATTAGCTAAGTCCAAAGTAAAGCTCACAAAATATACATGCTGTAAACGCTGGGTCCTTAATGCTAATTGTCTTGCTGTGAAGGTCTAGTCCTGCTGTGCCATGCTATTTCTCTGTTACACACATAGTCAGAAACTAGCTTTCTTTCTCCCTGAAGTATCCTTGGAGGCAATTCAGAACCAAACTATTTAGTAGAACCAAATAGATTTATTGCCCTGTGGCACTGAGCTACCAGGAGTCATGCACTTTTCCAAATGCTCCTGAGAAGATGCGAGATAAATCCTGCTGCAGCAGTCTTCCAATAACAAAAGTGTGAGATACTCAGTATGCCCTTCCTGTAGTGGTGAGTGTTGTGTTTTGAAAATGGCTGCAGGAGACCTAGACACTGAGACAGTAATACAGTGTTATTGACCACTCATTGGACCTTGCAAATTTAATAAGCCTTTCTAGTTAGGAAATGTAGAGTTAATTCATGCAGGTGGTAACAGTACTGCTGGTTTGGCTCAACCCTGTGATAAACTGAAGGTCAAAGCCTGCTGCCTTTCTGTTGAAACATCCTAACCCTCAACAATAATGAAAAGTAATGGTATATTTGCAATACTAAGGTGCCCAGAAACTTTTGTTAACAAAGGTCTGAGTATGTTGAAATACCATCTCATCCCCCCACCTTTTTTTATCTGAGTGTCAATGGAATGAAATTGTAGCGATGTAGTCATCATGACAGGAAATGGTATCCTCAACTCATTGCCTGAACTTTGTCAGGATCTTTCAGAATTTCCTTAGAGAAGGGAGAGGTTTGCAGGAGAATTGTGGGAAGCCACCTGCTGTACCAGTTCCAAAATATGGAGGGAGACTGGGGGAATATACCTGCATGCTTGCTTGAAAATTTGCCTGTTGGCTCAGACGTAAGGTTGTCCAAAGTCAGTGCTATGAATCTGGGGAGTCCTACATACCTTACTCTTTGTAAAAATCCTTAAAAATAAGAACTGCATACTGGTTAAGTGTACAGTCAGAAGTACAATAGCAAGAAGGTGCTCTTTCACATTTTTGACACACTGAATTTTTTTCAGGCAGAAGTTGGAATTAAATTTCATTAACCTGATGGCGTCTCACATGGCAATGTCCTGCATGTGTTTATGTTTACTGCTGCTTGTACTTCTGTTTTTACATCTGTAGTTAGCTTCCAGATGGGTGAAATCAACATTCATTTGTTTCTTTTAGCTTATCACCATCTTCCCAATTCCCTTGATGATGAAGTTGATTCTTATTCCTTTGTCCTACTTTCTTCTGCTTCTTCCTCTGACTTCTGTTTGCAGTCTCCCTTGAGCATCTCTCTTGCTTTGCTTGCTTTATTTCTGACTTTGTTCCTTCCTTTATCTTGATAATACTTTCACATGTGATATAAACTTGCATATTTTGTTTGTTTCCCTAGTTCTATGATTTCTCCTTTATCTCTTTATCTCCAGCTCTGTCTGCAGCTTTCCCGTCTTGCTAGGAATGCAGTGCTTAGAGCAATAAGAAGGGAGGAGAAAATACCATACGCATGCTCTCCATCACAACATGGATGTTCTGCTTCCCTCAAAATCTGGGTTCCCAAGCAGCGTGTCTGCATTTAGTCATGTTTATTTGTGGTTATTTACTGTGGATGAGGGCTTATACAGAGTTGGACTGTTCACTAAGGGAGCAGGCGTTGCTGAATTTAATAATAATAATGAGACTATCTTATCCCTGAAGTTTCACTGCTAGAGAGATTTTTGCAGGAGTAGAAGTCTTCCCCTGCTGGGGCTGCTTTCATTGTAAAATACGTAAGTTGTTGCTCTAGTTCAGTGATGCCTTTTGTAGTGATCATAAGAATACTGCATCAGGAGTTTTTGCCTTGCCTGCCGGGGAATTGCTTATGTGCACTCCCTTTCTTGCAGACACCCCAGCTGATGTAGATTGAAATTGGTGAAGAACACTTCTTCAGAGAAGGTCATATTAAGAAATTGCGTCTCTCATGGGTGAATGAGCCTTGGGACTTTGTAACAACCAGTGCCTCCATAAAATGTGGATCCCAAGGTGTAAATTAATGCTCACCCTTTTGTCCTACCAACAGAGTAAGACGTTTAATTCATGTATTTTACATTTCAGACCACTGACCACTTAGTGTCTCTGTACTATGGAGGAACGGTAACACTGTTAGTGCAATTTCTAAGTGTATATAGCAGGAGTGATGTATTGGTTATGCTCCTAATGAATATAAATTGTGATTTAAATTTGTGGTTTTTGTCTTCTGCAGGATACCATATTTTGAAACCAGTGCAGCTAATGGGAATAATGTAAGCAAAGCCATTGATACACTGCTTGACCTCATCATGAAGCGCATGGAGCGATGTGTGGATAAATCCTGGATCCCAGAAGGGGTAGTGCGTTCCAATGGGCACAGTTCTACAGAACAATTGAGTGAGGAGCAAGAAAAAGGCAAATGTGGCTGTTGACTCAGCTACAATTAAATTTAATGTACATGCTAAATTATAGTACAGTTGCAGCTTAACTGTTTAACTTATAGACAAATCACATCTCATAGTTATGTAATGAGCATTATTAACTTTTGATAATAATTTTTGTGCTTTTCTCTCAAACAACATTGACTTTTGTTTGCAAGGTGTGCAGTTCATTAGTGATGGGACAAGTTCATCAGTTTGATGTAGTACTGCATATTCCCTAAATTCTCTACTTTGGAAGGAAGGGGAGGACTTTTAATTAAGAAGTGTAAAAGCATCTTTATGTATGGGCAGTAAGAAAAGGTAGGTTTCTGAAATAAGGATTTTCATTTGCTCCTTGAAGGCTCCATTAACTCCAAAGACAAAACATTTAGATTAGATATTGTGACTACTCTTAGTGTCTGCAGACTAGCAAGCTTACCAACATGGTTCTTGAGTCTGTTTTAACAGAAACATTTAATTATTTCATCAATCAATGACAATCATAGCGAGCAAATCTTGTCTTTTTTGCAAAAGCCTGTAAGTAACTTTGCATTTTTTTCTCAAACCATCAGTATTTAGTGATAAAAGCCAAAAGAAAGATATTTTACATAGAATGAAAAACTTCTTAGAGAAGCACAGGGATGCATATGTAGAGCACTTTTTGTAGGTCACGAATGTGAATGTTTAAACTACAACTGTACTATATAAAATATAGTCAACAGAGCCTGCGAGACCTCCTGCCATCATTTGAATTTCTAGAACATATGTATACATATATTGATATGTCAGTGGTGTAAGTGTATATCTGTTATGTTCTTTGCTATTGTTTTAACAGGAGTAGGGTAATGTAGATGTCAGCAAAATTTCATCTGAAATAGTGCTTTGTACTGAGGTTTTTTTTGTTTTTGTTTTTAAACCAAACACTGATTTGGAATGTTTCTTCAAATATGGATTGAGAAACGAATAGTGATTGATTGTTTTCTGGTGAAAGAGATACCAGTTCTATCTAAATCAGTATTTCTATAAATTTATAATGCTTATTTTCTGCTGCCAACCTTTGTGTCCTGTACATCTTGGTTATCATATATTCACTTATGGCTTGTTAATTTCCTTAAAAATGAATAGAGTTACTCCTCCTCCCCCCTCTCCCTTACAGATCACATGAATGTCAATTCTGGTTTTGGTGGATCATGTTATTCTTCAATCGTTCTTATTTATTCTTATGACAACCTGAAGAACAATCAGTATTTTGTTGGTGTTTTTTTCTTTTTTCCAGACAGATTTATAAGATGTGCCTACCAACTTGTTTTCTACCCTGGCAGATGTTGTATAAATCAAAAGTATTGCCAATTAAAGTCAACACACCAAACTGAGTCTTCTTACAGACTTTCCACAGCCGTTTGTTTACAGAAGTCAAAAGCTAACACTTATTTAGAAATGATGTATTTATTTATTTAAATGTTCTGTCTATTTGGCTACTGCAATTTCAGGCAAATGTCTGTATCAGTAACGAACATGAATTGCAATGTAACACATTTTTTTGAAGGACCTAAAATGTTTCTGGAATAGGAGCTAATAAGGAAAAAAACCCCTTTATATTATACATAGCCTCTGGTTATACTAAGAATGCAAGAATAAGTGTTAAGACTTGGTTCTTAAAATATTTTACAAAGTAATGTATTCTTCTTTAACAGCAACATGTAAATATTAGATTTTTATCATAACCTACACAGAATATTTTAAAAGTGCAATATAATTTGACTACTCTGGGGCTAGGATAAAGATGAAAGAAATTTATATTGAATAAATGTAGTTTTTTCTATTACATCATACCAAGATTCTAAAGTGCTTGTGGACCAGAGTTACTGTAGTTTAACTCAGTGCCTTTTGAAGTTATCATCAGGTTTCTGACCAGTAAAGTATCAAACTCTACTGTAGGACACAAATACATTTCAATGTACTTCAGTGTCTGAATTTATTTTAATAGAACTCTTTGCTTTTCAGAGGGTTGCAGTGGAACTTTGTCATGCATTAACTTTAATGAAAGTTCCTGTGTTAATAGCTCCAGTTCCTGAAGACAGTGAGGACTATTGCAGCCAACTTCTGAGCTAAGTGAACTACTGAAATGCTGTTTAAAAAGAAAAATAAATAAAAAAAAAAATCCTTTTGGATACGTACGTTTAGATTGGATATTAGATATTAAATACTATAACTGTCATATTTTTGTCATGCATACTATATGTAACTATTTACTGTATAAAAAAAGTCTACATAAAATTGCTTTGATGTAAGCCTTAAATCTTACGGCACACTTCAATCTTCTTTTGTTGTCTTTTTAGCTCTCATGAGAAGTTATGTTAAATGCTTATTGATGGTGAGCTACAGTATTCTTATCAGTCTGCTGCTGGTTTTGAAGAAAGAAAGAAAACTTTGATGTTATGAGGAAAATGGTATTTCAAGAAAAGCTTTTTTTCCATGCAGCTTTAGCTGAGAATGCTGAGATCTGTAATAGAACAGAAGGTTTCAGAAAGTGTTTGCATTAAGATGTTTCATTCTTATTAATAGAAAATGATTAAACATTCCTGCTCTAAGCTTCGTTAGCATTTGTTGAACTGAATTGTGGTATTACTGGTTGTCATCAGTTCAACATCTGTGTTATATGCTGCTATCCCTGTGCCTTATGGCTTTTTTATTTTTTAGGTTAGATGCACATAAACTCTCTGCTCTGGCTGCAGTGCTTCTTGTGCTCTCCTGGCACTGACCAGAGCAGTCAGCCGGGGCAGCTGGTGCTTCCTGTGTGATGCCACAAGCAGCCCAGTGCATAGAAGAGAGTGGGGTGACACTTCCATATTTATAAGACATGGAGAAAGTTGCTAATGTGAGCACATAGCCACAAGGAATCAGAAACTGGACCAGGTGCCCAGAGCTGTTAGTGCATCTCCATCTTTGAAGGCAATACAACCTCAGCTGCATGGGGCCTTGAGCTACGTGGTGTAATTTGTCATGCTTTGAACAGGAGTTTGGTGTAGATGAGCTCTAGCAGTCTCTTCCACCCAACTGTACGCTCTGAGTCGCGGGGACAAAAAGCTCAGCCTGAAAACAAAGGACTGCAGTTGCATAACGGAAGGCAGGGCTGCCCTAGTCCTAAGTAAATGTGTTCACTCCTGTTTGGTTTTTGCGTCCAGTTGTAAACGTGCTGTCTTCATACCGTCCCTCATAAAGCAACCGCGAGTGCGTCTCTCTGCCACTTCCGCCTTCCGTGCCTGCGGCCCGGAGCTGCCGGGGGAGGCGCCTCTCCGCACCGGGCACGCCCAGCACGCGGCGCTGGGGCCTTCCCGTGTTTCCGGGCCGCCCTGACCCCGTGCGCACAGCAGGGGGCGCCCGTGCCCCGCCACAGCGCCGCTCCGCTCCGGCCCCGCACGGACTCCGCTTCGCTGCGGCGTTGGCATCCCGCGGCCGCCAGGGGGCGCCGTGCGGCACGCCGCCCCGCCGCTTCCGGTCAGCTGAGCGAGCACTTCCGGCGGGGCCTGCGGATCGGTTCGGCGCGGCCATGAGGATCGAGAAGTGTTACTTCTGCTCCGGGCCCATTTACCCGGGCCACGGCGTCATGTTCGTGCGCAACGACTGCAAGGTACCGCTGGGGGGGCGGGAACGGGTGCTCGCAGCCAGCCCGGGTCCGGTGTGTGTGACCTCAGGCCCGCTCCGGCGGCGGCCCCGTGCTTTCTGGGAGGGCCGCGGGCTCCGCGCTGCCGGCGGGTCTGTGAGCGGGGCGGGCGGCGGGCCGGTGTCCAATTGCGGCCGTCACAGCAGGACGCGCACAGCCGCTCGGGCTTCGTGTCGGTGTGACGGCGGCGTACTCGCGGCGTCGCGGTGTCCCAGCGTCCGCCTTGCTCGCGGCCGTAGGGCACTGCAGAACGCGGTGTGAAACGAAGCAGCGTGCCCAAATCGCTGCCGATGTGCCAGAACCGATACCGGCACGGCCGCTCCGCCGTCTTGGTCTCGGCCTCGGCCGCCGGCGGTGATCCGGCCGGACGCCGCTGCTTTTCCCGGGGAAGGCTGCGAGGTTCGGAGGTTGCGGCTGCCGGCGCGGGGCGCCTCGGGAAGCACGAGAGCGGCGGGTTTGGCAGAGCTGAGGAGAAACTCGCGGGCAGGGAATGTAGAAACGAACTGTCGCTAAGGACTTACTGTGCTGTGTTCCATTTCTTTGGAAGCCGGGCCAGGCTGGGTGGACCCTGGGAGGCCTGGTCTGCTGGGGCACCCAGCACACAGCAGGGGTTGGCACTGGGTGGGCTTTAAGGTCTCTTCCAACACAAACCGTTCCACAGTTGCGTTTCTCCTTTTCCTTTCTTATCTTGATGGCATCTCCCTACCTGCTCCTTCTGAGTGGGAAGCATCCGCTGGACTGAGGCAGTTTGGGGTAGAGTTGAAGATAGGGTTCTTCATAGCTCAGTGTTTTGCTACCTACCTTCAGTGCTGCATTAAGTGAATGCTATTGACTGTGAAGTTTCTTTTATGCACCTTTAACAGTCCTGAAAACACCACCTGGATGAACGTAAGATGCTTCCACGGCTAGCAGGGGCAGATGCCTAAAGTGAGTCTGGCATGACACGGTTACAAAATTGAAGTACAGCGTTTTATTTCAATGGCTGCTTTCAAGAAACGTGTTTTAAGCTGGGAGTGGCAGAGCGAGATCTAAATATAGGCAATGAAATAAAATAGCTGGTAGTTCTTTATGGGTGCAGTAGAAACTATTTAATGAGAAAAGATGTTGTGTTAGGATTCATTCCTGTGATCAGCCCTTGGTAACTATTAAAGACTTCCTAACAACTTGAGAAGTAAATAACTTGTGCTTGTTGACGTAATGAAGTGCAGTAATGCACAGCAGCTCGTGTGTCGTGGGCAGGATGGCAGACACTTTATGGTAACTTCCTGCTGTACCTGATCTCATGATGCAGTTGTACAGCTCATTGAGTGATACTGGGAACCCCCTTGGTGAGGAGCTCTTCATCTGTTCACCACTTTCTGGTAATGTACAGGGGATGAAATGGATTCTACTGGATTGCACCAAGTATTTAACAGTATCCTGTTTCCTATCAGTTTTGATTTAAATTATTGAAAATGAACTGGGTAGGTTAAATAAAGTACAGCAGTGACTTGGAAAATATAAGGCAATTTAAGGTCACTGTGTGAAATAAATGACCTTAATAGGCCATATTAAATGAAAAGTCTTCTTGAACAGTAGAGCATTTAGTGGTATTTAAATGCTGGAAATTTAATAGTATTTTCAATGGTACTTAACAATATTGAAGGTAGTTTTCTATCTCTTACCTTGAAAATGAACGTGGAACCTTTTTATTGTTTTTCAATTCAGTACCAGCAGGGATCTGGGGTTATGCTATTGCGTGTTGCTGACTTCGAGGTTGCAGTTTAATTTGAACTAATTTTGGTAATTCTACTTCATTGAATTTTGTGGGTTATAGGTTAAAGTGATAGAGCCTTACTGGAACAAGAATATTTTGGTTTTGAGAGAGCTGTGATATGAAAAATAAAGCAAGTGTTGCCATGTTTCTCTTGGATTTCAAGCCAAGGAAATAGTTCCAGCTGGCATAGGGATTTTGTGTCCATCCTTATTATTCAGCCAGATATAACCCCACAAATTCACATATATTGACATGAGAGTGAAAATAAAACGTAATTCACTTCTGTAGATGAGTGGCATAACTGGACGTGGCAGTATGTAGAGATCTGTAGAATAGATAGAAAAAATGGGAGCAAGAAAAAACAACAGAAAACAGTCGGTGCTGTTGTATGTGCTGTAACTGCTGTCAGTAAGTTCAGTCCAAGATGTGACAGTGTGCTCAGGGCTCCTCCTGCGTGCTGCTCTGTAAGGTTTAAAGCTGCATCCCAAAAAACTAGCTTCTTTGTTGTTGTTGTTGTTGTATTATCACATTGAAAAAATGAGAGGTGTGAGGATTTTTTGTTGTCAAGATGGCTCTGTGTCTAAAAAGTGCTGACAGGTGTAGAAAATGATTTATTCACAGTACAGGTTTGGTTTTATCTTTTTTTTTTTTTTTTTCAGATGATACTTCTCACAACTCTCCTGTGTTTTATTTAGAACCAGCTTAGCTGTGTTTGTGTACCACTGACAGCTGTGAAAGTGACTTTATAAAGAAAAAAATAGAACAGTGCTTGAATTTGTTTCACGAGTGAAAACTTTATCAAAGAAACCGAACTCTTGGCGCTCGTGTCATTATGGGCGATGGCAATCCTTGTGTATTATCCTCGTCTTGTTCTCTTTCTGAACTATGAACGTGTGGGTTCCAGTGATTTCTGTAGTCAGAGAGCACTCCTGAACATTCAGACCTTGGTGTGTCCATCTTCCTTTCGTCTTGCTTCTGCTCCTGCTGCTTTCTGCCTGCTCTCCTTGTTCACATTTTACAGCTTTTTCAGCTTGTCACCGTAAGCATGGTTATGCTGCATTGTTTGGGAGCTCCGATGAGGAGACCCAGCTAGTTTCTAAATGCCAAATTGTACTGAGTGGCTTAGATTGCCTCATTTGTTAACTGCAGCGGTCTTGCATGTAATGAAACTTGCTGTATTTAATATAGCACTGAATGTGAAATACATCAGAAGACATAATAAAGGAAATGTGTTGAATTAGTTTTTCTGCATAGAGTTCTGTTGAAATGTAATGCAATGACTTTTGGAAAGATTTTTGTGTGTGTGTGTTATAGACACTCCAGTGTTCGCCACTATGCTTGCATTTGGGCAGGAACAATGTGATTTGACCCCAAGGTTTCTTTTTTTTTTCTCCCCTCCCTCCCTAGATATTTAGATTCTGCAAATCAAAATGTCACAAAAACTTTAAAAAGAAGAGAAACCCAAGAAAGATCAGATGGACCAAAGCATTCCGAAAAGCAGCTGGCAAAGAATTGACAGTGGTAAGGAGATGAACTTTTTATATTACACAAGGCATTTCTGAGGGACTGGCTTATTCAGGGTTACTGAGGATACCACCAGTCTGTCCCCTTGTGTTTGGAATTAAGGTGGTTTGGTGGTCATTGTGAGGCAGTAGTAGTTTATGCATGCAAGTAAGACTGTGTGACTTAGAACATCTGTACTCTTAAGGGGTTTCTTTTTACTCTGTGGTGTGTTCTGATGACACAAAATAATGCTGTATATTATAAATAGGTAAAAGCTGACCCCAGTTAGGAAAAATTCTCCAGTGACATAATATGGTGCTTTGTCACACTTAACTGAAAATGAACATTAGTTTTTTGGAAGAGTCAGAATGGCCTGTGGATGTTTGCCTGTGGTGAAAACTAATTTTCATTTTGTAATGCAGTATAGCTTGTGTGTGTGTGTGTTTGTGTGTGCACACCGTTCCTTGCTAATACATATTGTAGCCTTCATTGGAGCTGTCTTTTCCTGAAGTGAAGTGAAGTGAAGATTACCAGCAGGTTTGAACCTTTTACCATTTAAAAAAAAAAAAAGAAAAGATCCTGTGGGCAGGGAACAAATCAGTGTAAAACTAAGTATGTCCCCCTCAAAAAAAGGGAAAAAATATAGGCTTCCCCATCAGCCTGTCCCAAACCCTGTGGTTGATGAGAATATTTCACAATTTCAAATGAATTTATATTGTTTCAATATTCTTAAAACAAAATGGTTTATTTTTGAACTTTTTCAAAACTAGAGGCTGTTGAATAACACTGGTTTGATCTGCACTGTATGCTGTTGACTCTATATATGTTCAGTTTTGCCTTCTGTGTGTCTGGTCTCCTTTGTAGTTTCTACTCCACAGTAGAACTCTGTTCTCTGTGTCTCGTTAGGAAGGAAATGCCAATGGAGATGGTTTGGTAAATAGTTCTCTTCAGATGAATCTCTGTGGCTTCTGCTGCTACAATGTCTAACACTTTCATGTATTACCTTCTAGTTTATCAGGAATTGATATTCTAAAACACACACAAAAAAAACCCAGAACCACCAAAAATAGTTGAGTGCTGCAATAAGAACATACGGATCTAAATATGTTGCTGTATATAATCTGTATTTACTCTTTCTTAATATAGGACAATTCATTTGAATTTGAGAAACGTAGAAATGAACCAGTAAAATACCAGAGAGAGTTGTGGAACAAGACTGGTGAGTCATTTTAGAGAGAAAAAAAAAAAAAAAGCTGAGAAGTTAACTTCTGAAGACCATGTTTTGAGGAGACGTGTTAGAATATTTATGTTTTGTAGTGATTGTTCTTTGAAGTTACTGGAATGATGGCCAGATTTTTAGATGTGGAGCACGTGAGTTGTGCACAGGTGTGGGTTTACACTGGGTTTTATTTTTTTAGATGCTGGTTGGAAAACAAGCAGTAGCATTACTCTAGTTTGAATTGCTATCTTTGACAAACCTTAGTGGTTCTCCAGCTTTCCAAGAGTCTCTCAGTGTAAACCTTTTACACTGTGGTACCATTGCTTGTTACCAGTCATTCTGCTTTAGTTTGTTTTATAAATAAACAGATAAAATAGAAGAGTTACTTTGTAAGCCAAGAGTAAATGTTACGAAGGGGAAGACAGTAACTTCTGATTTCAAGTAAAATCTTCTGTTGTAATGCTTAACTGTAGAAGATATTTGTAGGCATAAAAGTGAAAACATTACTAAGTTTTAAAATATGATTCCTTGTAGTTGAAACACGCTCTGCTAAAAAAGCACGTATTTTCAACTGTATGTATGTGAGCACACTTAATGCAACTTCTGCTTTGTTTCAGTTGATGCAATGAAGAGAGTGGAGGAAATAAAGCAAAAACGCCAAGCTAGGTTTATTATGAACAGGTGAGGAAATGTATTTGTATTATGAGAGCTCTTGCACATCTGCATTAGAAATTCAGTCTTTCCAGAGCAATCATGAACAAGAGTTTTAAAAGGCTCTTTGCTTTGCTTTGTACACATATAGCAGTCAAAGCAGTGGGACAAAAATAGTTTGAGTGGACTCTGTTCTGCTACCTAACTACTGTGCTATATTGGCTGTCAAAGCAAATGTAGCTTTTGGATGCTCAGTGGTAGTAGAGTGTTTCATTGTTTGCGGTTTGGAGTCTCAAACAAATTTCTGATAAGAGTTAATACAGTGCTGACATTTTTTCTTACTTTCTGATTTTGCGTCCAATGTACGTCTGAATAAGTTTTCATATAGTTTTTGCCTTTGTTTCCTTACAAGAGTTATTTGCCACTGTATACCTTCAGTTAAATATGTGCTTTGCGTTAAATGGAAAACGTGCACAACCTTCTTGAAGGTAATGTAATATCTCTTCTTGATAGATTAAAGAAGAGCAAAGAATTGCAGAAGGCAGAAGACATCAAAGAAGTCAAACAGAACATCCACCTTCTTCGTGCCCCACATGCAGGTAAGACCTTGATGCTTAGGTTAACAGGTGTATATAATTTTGTGATTAATATTGTAGGGTTTTTTTTGCTGTGTCTTACTCAACTGATGAATAACCATATGCAATTTTTTTTGGAATTAAGTAGAATTTTCTACTGACTGTAGAAAATAGCTCTTGCCACTTACTGATTGAAGGAAAATACAGTAGCTAAACTTTTTTTTTTTTAGTTTATTGTGAAAATGTAGATGTTTTGTAGTTCTCTGTTTTGAAAATTATATGAGAACACTTTTTCTACAATGTAATCGTAGCTTTTTTAATATAGTGATATTTTTATTAATTTTCACTAAAATCTCTGCCTACTACATGTAAAATTTCATATATTCTTTGTGAACTGCGTTCCTAAATTGGCTTTCAGTTGTGGATACCTATTCCTCCTAAACAATTTTTTGCTTTTCAGACCTCTTACAAGTACTAGTTTTGTGTTATACAGATAAAAGTGAAATGAAAAATATTTATTAAAAAAAAAACCAACACGGCTAATGAAACACAGTAATAGAAATTGGAATAAAATATCCATTAGTTCTTGTTCTATAAAAATTACTAGTGAATTTGTCTCAGCTGGAAGTGGGATATATTATTAGATGTTAACTAGAATTCTGTTAATTCTGTTTTTTCAAATTATATGTTTGCATTATTGTATGATTGCACGTGTGTGAAATGGGCTTTTCTCAGGATATACTTAATGTTTTTATTTGTTTTTTGACTTTGCTTGTGTTAGGTGAATGATGCACAATAACACGTAGTGCATCTGTTTTTCAGACATTTTTCTCTTCAGTCTCTTGGATGAAAGAAAGCAAAATTAAATGTCAGTCTTGTAGGGTTTTTTTTTCAGTAGCGTTATTTAAAATTTACATCATTGCCACCCAGTGCAGCATTCAGGAGGGCTCAAATATAAATCTTACATATAACAAATGTGTGAAGGCCATTAGTCCCTTAAAATTAATGCTTTTTATTTTTTATGCAAGATTCTGTTAGGTATTGCTAGCTATATTAAAGCTTGTCATAGTAGCTGAAAAAATACATTGACTGCATTTCAGATGTTGTATAACAATGGCATCAGCTTTTCTATTATAACAACTATTTTATAACTTTAGATGGTGATGGCCATTAACAATAAATAGTTCTAAGCTAGATGGGTTCATTGCTAAACAACTGCTCACTAAATAGTGGCTGTTGGACCTGTTGAGGCATCTTTAAATTTAATATTTATTTGTTTTGAAGGCAAACCGAAACAACTGGAGGAGAAAATGGTGCAGAAGCTACAGGAGGATGTGGCCATGGAAGAAGACTCTTAAAATGCTTGTATTTCTTGTCGTAATTTCCTCAGCAGTTAACAGTTGCTTACTATTTCGCCTGGCTTCACTTGGAGCTGTGCTTGCAATTGAAGAAAAATACATTTTAATAAATAGCGGACGCTTAGGGTTTGAATTATTTTTGTTGTTATAAAACAAAATAAGATGGATAATGGTTTGGACAGTAATTACAGCTATCTATTTCGAGAAAACCTTGTCAACGGGATGAAAAGTAAATTATGTTATTTGAGATGTATTCTTTGTTATACAGAAAGAAAATGTAATTTTCCCTTTTCTTGATAAAATAAGTTGGTACTAGTCACTTGTTGTTTTTTCTGTTCTTCGCTGGTGGTAAAAGCAGGTAAGAATGTATAGTAATGGTAACAGGATGGAGGAGGTTGTATTATTTTTCTTCAGTGCAATGGAGAAGATTTATTTTCACTCTGGTCTGGGAAAATTGTTCGGTTTGTTATGAATGCAGACTGCGTTTTTTTTTATTTCCTCTTAAAGTCTGTCTCCTCAAAATTACAGTGCAGATGACATCTAAACCTAGCAATGCTAACTTGACTTACTGCCGGTTGGAAAGTAGTAATGGTGATCACATCCAGCCTGGCGTTGGAACTGCCATCTTCCTGAGCTGCTGAAATTCAAATTTGACTATGATTGAGCTGCTGAATAAATCACACTTCTGACTGTTTTTTCCTAATGCTCAGGATTATTTTGATAGAAAGGAAACTCATGTTAAGCAGAGGTATTTGCATATCATGGCGGTGTTTGAGCAGCGTTCATCAGTACCGAGATAAATACTCTGCTGCTTTAATCTGTGAACAGTTTATCTACAACTGTGATTAGAGAAGCCTTTCAAAAGTATTTAAAATAACATTTACTTGTCAGTGCTAATTGCCCTGTAAAGTAATAATTTATGGTTCTGTTCTGAACTTGAATACGTGCTGTATCAGTTGGTAAACCTCCTACCGCCTACTTGTGTATTGTGTGCCTCAGGAAAGTTGTGTTTGAACATGGCAAGAGAGGCAACGGGGAGTGTGTGAAGTAAGTGGGTATTATGCTGTGTTTTTCATCTTTTGATTTATGAATTATGTTCTTGTGTTTAAAATCTTTGTCATATTTATATGAGATAAAAGTTCTAGTAATACAAACGTATAATTTCACATTTTCATGAAATAATTTTCAGCGAAGCAACTCGTTTGGCTTCCTGAGCTGCTGAAAAAGCACATTTTCTTTTCAGCCAGGGAGTTAAGTAATTGAGATTGCTGTACTGGGAGCTGGGTCAGGTTTGGGATGTAATATGGCAAAAGAAAGAGCATTGTGAAGATGTTTAATTGTCTTTCCTCCTCCAGTTTATTAACTGTCTGGGTTCGAGGAGAGCAGAGGCAAAGTACTAATGAGATCAATGTAAAAAGTGAGGGGCAACCATTAATTTGTAGTATTTGTGTACCATGCGTGTTCCATGTTAATGAAACTTAAAAGAGTAATGCTAGGTCTTCTCTGCAGGGTAGCATTTCTGTTTTATGAGCTGTTTAGTTTTCTCTGAAGTCTGCTAATATTTATTCTTACATTCATTGACAGAGATTTGGAGGGAAGGCAGGGATTACTTGGTTTCTGAGTGTTGGAAATGTTTCATTTGTTTCAAAGTGTCCAGCCTATAGATTTTGGTGTAATGGCCCGTGAAATATATGTGTTTTAAATATGAAAGTTTCCTATTAATTTTAAAGCATTGCTGGATTTGTTTTGCAGGGTAAGTATTGAATTTTTTCCTTAATCCTGGAAGTGAGATACTTTTTCTAAGATCTAATTACAGGATTTTTTTTTTTTGGCTGAATTTTAAGGAGCTGATTCATGTTCAACGAGTGCCAATTTTTAATTTTCTTCCAAAATAATTAATAGATTAAGTCTGCGCTAAGCAGAGAAAGGTAATGAATACCATTTCACATTATGCACTATTTATAAATAACCCTTCATATGAGGATTTTTTTTCCACATTGAATATCAAAGCGTGTATTTTTTCTGTCCACATACCTTTAAATGAGCTGCAATACTTGCGATTCTTGCTTGCGTGCTGTGTGCAGGTCTGTGGGGTGTTAGGAGAAGAGCTGTTTGTGGGATACCGATATCTATCCGAAGCTTCCTGCTGGTTGCACGTGTTGCTTAACCTTTGTGGCTCCTTCTAACTCCAGTGCTCGGCACCACTCTCCACAGCTTTGTAAAAGGTTGCTTCTGGAGGTGTTTCTTTTTGCTCTCGGTCATCGGTTGGTTTGCCGATCCATCGCTTCTTGCTTCAGATGTCTTTGGAACCTCACTGGGTTTTGGTGAAAATTTAGGTTGAGTCAGAAAGCGTTCTCAATGGTGGAGGTGGGGTTTCTGTTCTGTTTGCTTTTTTTTCCTTAAAGCAAAAACCATTTCAGGATTTCCTTTGTCATTTCTTTCCAAATGCTGACTGAAAAAGAGTCAGAAAAAATGAAGATCGCTGCTTTGTGACCAGGTTCTGCTGATGGTGCACAGGTGCTCTTCGTGGAGGGGCTTCCCATGGTGCTGAGCAGCACCCAGCCAGGGGCTGGTGTCTGTTCTGCTAATGAGCTGAGAAACAAGGTATCAGAGATAGTCAATGCGTGTCGAAAATAAGTTGTTTATTTTCCTGTTTATGGAGCTTACAAGCCTTGTTTTTGCTAACCTCCTAAATATTAGGTTTGCTTGGATGCCTTTTAAATATTGAAAAACAGCTCCCAAGAGAAACTTGATGGTGACTGGTGCAGTAAATTGTGTGTGTGTTTTGTAGCTTATGTAGTTACCTGACTTCAGACATTTGCAGTTTTACAGTAAGAGTGATGGAGCCCCAAGCATCTACACAAGATCTGTCCTTTTGCAGCACAAAGAATCATAAATCAGTTCAATATTTTGACATGGACATATGTGTCAGTGGCTGGAAAAGCAATATAGACAGCTGCTAATAGGTCCGAAGGCTTCTGTCCCGAGAGAAAATATTTCAACCTCCAGGCTGTTCGATTCCTCAATTACTGTTCTGCTCTCAAAAATTCAATCTCCTCTTCTGGCCTGACTTATTTATGGCTTGCACTGAGCTGTGACCAGAGGGAGCAGACAGCAGAAATAAATCAACCGCTGATAAAATTGTTTGAATCTGCTGTCTGTCTGTCTGTTATTAGATACGAAATTTTTAGGCCTTATGCAGAGAAATACAGAAGATTGTTTACAATATATATATATATCAGTAATAAGAAGTCCAAATTCAATGATCAGCTATTCTGATTTAATTTCAAGCTGCTAAACAAAAGACACTGAGTACTGAATTCACTGAAATATAGGCAGGTTTTTTCCTGTGATCTGATGTGATGATGTAACCACAGCGTTACCCAGAGCAGGTGGGGACATGGGGCATTGTTTGAGGGGAGAGATGAATTTGAAGGAATACTTCAGTGGTTTTTTTCTTTTCCCTCATTTAGATCTCTCATTTTGTGTTTTGTTTGGTAAAGTCACTCCTCGTTAAAATGTTCTTTGAGTTAAAGATGAAGGAACAGCAGTTTATCTTACGCATATATGGCAGTAAAGGTACATTATTGAATAAAGAAGGATATCAGCTATCGCCTTACAAGCACAGAATCACAGAATGCTTTGTGTTGGAAGGGACCCCATGGATCATCATGTTCCACGCCCCTGCCACAGGCAGGGCCACCAACCTCCTGATCTGGTAGTAGTCTAAGCTGCCCAGGACTCCATCCAACCTGGTTTTGAGCACCTGCAGGGATGGGGCATCCACAGCCTCTCTGGGCAGCATGATTCTTTAGTGAAGTTGTTTCAGCACAGGACTCCAGAACAGCAATAGATGTGTTATTTATCAGGCATTAATACTGTGCTTCCATGGCTTACCACCTGGAACTGAAGCAGGGATCTCTGCATAATTGAAAAAAACTTACTGTTTACTGTTAATGTAAGCTGTTTTCTGTAAAGCTCTACTCTGTGCTAAACTTGCTGATTAAGAGAATTGCTTCAGAATCCACTTTGAGTGATTTCCGAGCGAGAATTTGAGAGCTTTCTTAGTTCTTGTCAGAATAAAAAGCTGTCATAAATTCTGTGTTGGAGGTAGCATCGTTTACAATATCTCTGTTTATGCAAGATGTTGCCCAGGTTAATGTTTTTTTTAGCATTACTATGGCAATTCACCATAAGAAACAGGAGCAGGTAAGGTGAGCGGTGGAAACATCAAATGGTTTTCTATCATATTGTGACCAATGCTGTCATTCCCAGCACTGAGCAAGTTCAGGTTTGTGCTTCAAATCCTCCTGTATTCAGGCTTGACGTCATCCCTGACGCAGAACCTGGGGATAGAGTGACAAAGGCCATGCAGGTTTAGATCTGTTCATGAAGTTGGCAGACCCAAACTTATTTGTCCTCAGACTCAGCTGTGAAGACAGCTCTCCTAACAAACCTAATGAACTGATGCTAGGTTTGAAAAGCAGAACCAGCCAGGCTGGCCCCTGGGCTGCTCCTGACTTCTCTGGTTAGTTGTGTCTGGTTACAGATGGAAAGTCATTCAAGGTTAATTCGATTAGCTCCACTGAGCATGAGAGTAATCTCTAAGGGATATTTTTCCTTTGAAATAGAAGATACAAATATCATAATGTGATCCTAGTTCATGTGTGATACTTAGTAAGAAGCAGCAGTTACCCTTGAGCAAGGGATAAATTTATAGCAATCTATACTCTAATCCATGGTTCCTTGTGGCTTGGCCTCATTACTGCCTGGGGTGTCTGGAGTGGGGGTCCCTGGGGATATCTGGGGAATACTGTGACACTGCTTTCAAAGAAATTGGGCTTTTTCTTCGTGGATGCCTGTCTCTGTGCTTGGTGTTGACCTGGGAGGAGATTTTGTCATTGGCACTTTCACAGAGATGATGCAGAGGTGACAAGAAGCATTTTTCACTTTCCACAGCTGATGCAGATTCATTTGTTTCCAAAGGGAAGGGGACAGCGCTGTGAAAATTGCTTTCAGTGACTGTTGAAATCTCTCTGCCTCAGACATACAAGTTCAGGTTCTGTTTAAAAATGTGAACAGAGGAGCCATTCTTAGGTCAAACTAGAGGTGCTTGAGCAGGGTAAAAACCTATATCCCTCATCATAAATTTATCCACTTTCTTTGTTGCTAGAAAGTAGCGCCTGCAGGTATCAATGTTGAAAGCAAGCTGTTGTGGATTGGTAGTACACAACTCTTGTTTTAACACCAATTTAGCGTTATTTACATTTGTATGGTAAATCAAGTGTTATATTGTATGAGTCTTAGTAGCTTTT